TTAGCAGCAGTAGCAATAGTAGAAAAATTGTCGTCATTATCATAAACGTTATAATGCGCAATGCAGTTCAAATCCTCAATAATCATATCAAATAGGCGTTTGTCATAATTATAAGTGTTATTATTATTATCACTACTACTACTATTACTGTTGCTATTGTTAGGAGAGTTATTACATCTATTATTAATAATATTATTGTTAGCGTTACTACTACTACTACCATTATTATTATTATTCCTGACATTATTATTATTATGATTATTATTATTGTTGTTGTTATCATTTAAAAGTCTCAAAGACGATAATAGCGACGACGATGATGGTAGTGTTGATGATGATGGTGGCAGTATTGATGATGATGACAAGCCCAGAGATGACGACGATAAACTTTTGCCTAACTTGCTGTGGAAAAAGTGATAATGATGATGATGGAGATGATGATAGTGATGATGATGGCTATGATGAGGTTGTTTATGATGATGACGATGAAGAAGTTAGATGGGAATCGAACCGAAATCGAACCGAACTCGAACACTACCGATATTTTTGCAATGCAAGTTTTGTTATTTTCGCATTTTTTTATTATTTTTTATACTTTATTTTATATTTTATTTTTTTATATTTTTATAAATTTTTTATTTTTATATTTTTTTTTTCATTGTTTTTTTTTTCTATAACGAATTGTGCACCTTGCATAAGACGGCCATGCTCTATATCATTTAGTTTTTTGATGCGGCTGTATAAGTCAATCGAGCCAAATCGAACACGAACTTCAAGGCGAGGGTTCGATTCCCATCTCTAGAAGAAGTGAGTTATGTCATTGTTGCAGGGTATTATTTTGTCAGTAGAGAGGATGCTAATTTGACAACAACATCAACATCTCAACAACAACAGCACCACCACAACAACAACAGCATCACCACAACAACAGAAAACCCATCGAAAAAAAAAACCACTAGTAGGAAGAGGAACGCTACTAACTACCACCATCACAGCAAAAACAGCCACAAATTCTACCACCTTATTGCCACGACAACCACAACATCGTCGCAACAACATCAACAACCTCACCGACATCAACAAAAACCTGTTAAGGAAATCAGGAGGAAAAAGAACACTACCACAACCAAAACCATAAATTTTAACGCCACTACAATCACTACCGCCACAGCCACACCTAACGCTGCCACCACGGCCACTACTGACGTTAGCGACGTTGTATTTTTCTTCTTGCATGAATTTATACAGGCCAAGAAGAAAAATAACAACATCATCTGGGAGTACAGTTTTTGCTGATGTAGCCGATGAGACTACTGATGATGTTGTTGATGTGTTTTTATTTGATTTCTTTGATGTGGTTGCAGCAGCTGTCGCTGTGATTTCAGCAGCAGCTGCTGTGGTTGCTGCTGCTGCTGTTTTTGTATGGTAATATTTGATGTTGTATACAAAACTTTTAAATATGTGAGATTTGAATGATAGGATGCATGAAACAATGTTGTTGTTGTTGCTGTTGATGTGATTGTTGTTGTTGTCGTCGTTGACATCATTGTTGTTGTTGATGTCATTGTTGTTGTTGTTGTCGATGATGACGTCACCATCGCCGTCGTTGCCATCCAAATACTTCATCATCTTTTGGGGAATTAAATTTTTATTGAATGATTCAAGCAAATGAACAAATCATCAGATAGCCAATCAATCCGATCCAATCAAACCAACCAATCAAATCAACCAAAAACCATACCAATCAAATCAAATCAAATCAACCAGCAAATCAAAATTCAAACCAGTGGGCCAACCAACCAACCAACCAACCAACCAACCAGCTAGCCAACTAACCAATCAACAAAATTAAAAAGAACTCACAGCATCAATCACACAACCGGACAGTTGATTGACAGATGAACAAAACTCATCCACTTGTCTTTTCAGTCTATCCACAAACTGGCCCCCATAATCGATTTCATATCTTTCTCTAAAATAATCTTCCCTAAATGACGGCTGAGCAGATATAGAAAAAAAAAATTTTCTGAATTGTCTATGGCCTTCAGTCAAACGCCGTTTTGTCTCGAGATCCTGTTTTTTAATGTTTTTATTTTGTAAATATCATGAGAGGAAGAGAGATATATATACAAATATATATAGAGAGAGAGAGAGAAAGAAACACAAACAGAAAGACAGTCAGAGAATGAGAAATGAATATGAATAACAATGTAAGAAAGAAAATTTAATTTAGAGAGGGAGAGAGAGAGAGAAAAAAAATAAAGTAAATAAATAAATGAGTTAAATGAGTTAAATGAATAAATGAATGAATAAATCACAAAACTGACTGCTTTCGGGTGATCATAGCCTGTTGCTTTGAAATAATTTCGAAAAAATTCAAATACATTAGCATCATCTGTTCTCAACAACTCCAGCAAAGCCTAAATAATTATAATAAAAATATAACTATTAATAAATGATATGAATAATTAATAATAATGATAATGAATAATATTAATATCAAAAGAAATGCAAACAAACAAACAAGAAAGCAAATAACTTATAAAATGTACAGAATAATACATCTTCGTAGCATCAACAAAAACAACATCCAAAACAACAACATGAACAACAACACACCAATAGTTTCATTGACTCAATCAACTTTGAATAAACTCTAAATGACAGAACGTCCTGACACTGCTCATAAATACTCTCAACTGCTTCTATCATTTTAGGAAATTGGGAATACTTTTGCTGTGTTACAATATCCCGGAGGATACAAAGAGTGGGTCGTACAATGGGAATGGTACATCCCTGCTCTGACCAGAGATCTCTGTGATTGGCTGCTATGTCTGGCACAAAAAAAGAATTGAGTTTTAGGGATAGAGAATTTTACAGCTATTTTAAATGTTAAATTGAATTAAATTCGTGGCTAAATTTGACAAATAAAGAGTTAAACTTTTGCAAAAAATTGTTCAACTTAACTTACTATTCAAAACATTGAGCATGTCATGCCTGCAAGCATAATCAAAGAGCCAATTTTTCACAATTTTGGCCGCAGATTCGCTCTTTATTATGGAATTACCGACAGATGATCGATTCATATTTTAGTTTTAAATATTTAAATAAATAAAAAAAAATTTATATAAGATATAAAATAATATATAACTAACGAAATACGGGTTTCACAAAACACAAACAAATTCACAGTTTTGGCGGACATTTTGGATAAAAGCAAACTACGATGATAAAATGTAGAAGGGGAATGAGGTATTATTATTTTAACATTTGTATATGCGTTATATTGATTATGATTGATTATGATTGATTACTCAAATCTGATGGCTTATTAAAAAAAATTAAAATTGTTATGTGCAAATAAATTCTTAAAAACTCGATGAAATCATCGACTTTGCAAAAAACATTAAAATAAATTGATTAAGGTATTTTAATAAAATAAACGCATTCTTATGGGTGGTTCTGTGGTGTAGTGGTTATCACGTCTGCTTTACACGCAGAAGGTCGCGAGTTCGAACCTCGCCAGAACCTCGAATTTTTTATTTTTTTTAATCAATTAGTAAATTAATTAGTTAATCAATTAGTTAACCTCGCCAAAACCTCGAATTTTTTAATTTTTTTAAATCAATTAGTAAATTGGGTAATTAGTTAATTAATTAGTTAAATTAAAAATATTATAAATAAAAATGAAAAACATTAGTACAACTACAGCCAATAACAGTAACAATTTAATAGTAATAATAGTAATAGTAATAATAGTGATAATAATAATAATAAAACCAATAATAATAAAATCAACTTTCAATAAGATTAGATGAAACGTTTATTATAGATTCGCGATCAAATGAAAAAACATTCTCTCTCTCTCTCTCTCTCTCTCTCTCTCTCTCTCTCTCTTTTTCTCTTTACTGCTACTACTATTTGTAGGCTAGACCGGTTTAATACGAGGTATCTGCTGCGTATGATTGTAGATGATGGTGGTGGTGATGATGGTGGTTATGTAGATGATGGTAGTGGCGATGATGAAGGTGGTTATGCAGATGATGATGGTGGTGATCAAGGTGGTTATGCAGATGATGATGGTGGTGACGAAGGTGGTATTGTTCGGTTCATTCTGATTGATGACGGGGTTTTTTGGTTGTTTTGGGCTGCATTCCAATAAACTCCCGTTTCGGCATGAAGACTTTTCTGTGCATCAAAAATAAACTGCGTAAATTATAGTTATAAAAAATCATGTATTTAAACTTAAATTTTATAAAATTTGTAATTTTATTAGCATGTCCGATGTGGGCAAATAGAACAGGAGACTTTAATGTTTATATTGGATCAAACTCGGTTGCAACATCTCAATCCTCATCTTACGTCATCAGCCTGGAGCAAGAACTAGCCATTAGTTTCTATCAAACCAACTATTTGTTTGATCTGATTCAATTAAACTTCTCAGTGGCGAACTTATACAACATGACGATAGCTCTCGATTCGCCTACTAGCAGTATTCCAGAATTAGAAATATCTGTCTCAGCCAAATCCAATAACATTGTTGGTATATGCTGTCTTGCTGTTGTTTCTGTTGTGTTTGTTGTGTGCTTCTTAAAGTTACCTACACCGGATTCAAATTCATAGAGGGTTTATTGATGGTAACCTTGAATGAAGCACATGGAAGAATAAGTTATTACTTATATTTATTGATTAATAAGTGGAGGCTGAGAAAACAACAGGGTTGCTAACAACGAAAAATCGCTATCGCCGATATTGTACTTCGGGTACTTTTTCAGAATGGGCTTTGTTATCGCCGATACATTTTAGACAGAAAAAATCGATACCGATATTTTTGAGCGTCAAGTCGGTATATTTATAGTAAGTATCAAAATAAAAATATTTGCACTCTCAGTTTTGCTAAAATAACTTTCTTTGTATGTTACGAATTTATGAAAAACGTTACCAAAATTGCCCTTTTTAAGCTGATGAAAAATAGTAACCTTCGTTTTATTGTTTCCTCAGGGCCTGTCTCAGTCCTGTTGCCTCAGTTCGGACCTCAAAATTCGTCCTTGGACATATGAAAATTCATCTTAACTCTTTTAAATTTAATGATTTAAACAATTAATCGTTACGCGAACATTTTTATGTGATGTTTCAACTGCCGAATGCGTTGTTATGTAGGAAGTAAAAGTTCTGTCTTTACGTAACACGGTCGAGGAGTCCAAAAGTTTCGGTATTACCGGCAATACTCCCAAAAATGAGTATCGGTATCGGTATCGGCATCGGCAACACACTTTAAAGCCGTTATCAATTTCGGCATTGGCGATACGATACAACTTTTGAGAATTTTAAACAACCCTGGAAAACAACATACACCATTAACCAGGCAGTAGCGGAAAATTACGTGACTAGTGGAGTGACTGCCATACAATTTCAAGCGGTAACGATCACGTTCGGTCCGATCAACCCAGCCACGGAGATATCAATAGGATTGGTGGACATTGAAGTTTGCGCAAAAACTATTTCTAATTATAGCTGACAAATTGATGATAAGCAAGAAAATATCACACACACACAATTCAAATACACACACACACCACACACACAAACATACATGCAAATGTTGTATTAACAAATGTACTATATAAATTATAACTAGACATATTTTAACAACATCCACAAGCTAATGATTAATTGTTAACATTAATTTTATTTTGAAAAAAAACTTATAAGGCTTTTACAATTGTAGTTGTTATTTGATTTTATAGCGTTTTATATTACATAACATTTTCATATACGTTAGAGTTAGAGAGTTAATCTTAATAAAATCCACAAACAATGATTATTAATTGTTAACAATTTTATTTTATCATGGGGAACTCCTCAAACATTTATAGTTACATTACTTTTTCTCATTTGTTAGATTTAGCTTAATAAATTCTATACAAACAAATCGCTTGTTGTTAATACTTTTATTTTATTTAAAAAAAAGATAAATAATACATTTATAAGAAAAGTGTAATTATATATAGAGTGAGAGACAAAGAGAAAAGGAGAGAAAAAGAAAAAAGAAATAGAAAGAGCGAGAAGAGAGAGAGAGAGAGAGAGAGAGAGAGAGAGAGAGAGAGAGAGAGAGAAAGAAACACCACCCAATACACCACACAGTCAAAAATTGCCCAATAATACATGCATATATAATTGTTGTTATTGTTCTTATTAATCATAAAAATAATTATAATAATTATTTATGAATATTATTATTATTTAGAATTATTATTATTATTATTATGACGTCATCATCATTTCTTCTCGTAGTTTACAAGGCGCAGGCCAACCAGGTACCTAAAGAATGAGAAAAATTTTTTTTGGGTCGAGGTTTCAAGTCCAGTAAAATTGCTATAATAATAATAATGACAACCACCAATACACCACCATCATCATCATCATTATAACAACAGCATCATCATCAGAACAAAATCATCATCATAAACAAACATCACCATCATTACCATGATAAGCATCATCACCATTAAAAACCAACCACCATCATCGTCATCATCACAGCCACCAGACCGCCATCATCATCATTATAACCTCATCATCATCATCATCGTCGTCATCATAACATCATCATCATAACAACATCACCGTCATCATAATCATAACCACCCCAACAATATCACCACCATCGTCACACTCATACTCACTTATCGTTCTTGATATGTTCGTACAGTCTCTTGAACTGGCTGGCTTGGAAGTGACAGAAGCAATAGATCAGTGAGCAGGCGAATAGGAAGGGGTATATGCGACGTTCCACAATGTGGCGGGTTTCCATGTCTTTAACTTGGATGGAGATCAAAATTAATGTTTATTCATCTACTTGTCTGTCTTATTCACTTTCTCATTCATTCATCCATTCATTCACCCATTAATTCATTCACTTACTAATTCACTCAGTTTATCCATTAATTCATCGAATATAGAAACAAATAGATAAGGAAGAGTAATTAAGAACACCAGTATAATATAAATCGACCAGCATTCACTCACTCATTCATTCGTTCGTTCGTTCATTCATTCATTCACTCATTCATTCGTTCGTTCGTTCATTCATTCATTCATTCATTCATTCATTCATTCATTCATTCATTCATGCATTCATTCACTAATTCTCTCTTCTAACTCACCGATAATAGGAACCTTACTCTGTTGAGCAAACAGATATGGAAGAGTAATTAAACGAACCAACCTTCGCTCATCAATGCCTTCAATCATTCATCCACTGATTCACTCAGTCCATCCAATAACTCACCGAAGATAGGAACAATACTCTGGGCAAAGAGATATGGAAGCGTGATTAGGAGGCCGAGGAGAATGTAAATCGGACAGCAGATCTTGCGCACCACCAACATGACGTTTATGTTTCTAAAACCTTGGGCGTATACCTGATGATGATGACGACGACGACGATGATGATGATGATGAAAGAGGTGATGATGATGATGGCGATGATGATGGCGATGATGATGATGATGATGAAAGAGATGATGATGACGATAACGATGATGAGGATAGCGACGATGATGAAGATGAAAGCAACAATAATTATAACTAAGCTGACGGCAGTGACGATAATAATGAAGATGACGATGGTGATGATGGCGATTGATGACCATCAATCGCCATCATCATCATCATCATCACCATTCACAACCAACATCGTCATCATCATCATCACCTGTTCTAAAACGTTCCTGAATTCCCAGTTCGGCCCCATCAGGGCGAATGCTGCCAATGTCTTCACTTGCACAACTCCGACTGCCCAGTTCTGTGGAGGAGTGCATGGAGGAATGAATGGATGGATGGATGAATGAATGAATGAGTGAATGAATGAATAAATGAATGGATGAGAAACTGGCCAACCAACCAACCAAACAACCAACCAACCAGCCAGCCAACCAACCAACCAACCAACTTGTCAATCAACCAGCCAGCCAACCGACCTGACACGGAAAAAACAAAGGTGATTGGTCTAGAGGAACTTTAAATGGTGTCATAAAGACCAGGTCAAACAAAACGCCAAACAACAGCGGTATGAAGCCCGCCAGTATTGCACTGACAAAAACCACTTTCAATATCTGAAAATTTAAATTGAATTACCTAATGATTGATTGGTTCATTAGTTTTATGATTGATCGATTGATTGGTTGGTCTGTTGGTTGGTTTATTGGAAGATAGGTTGAATGGTTGGCCGATTGGTTAACTGGTTAATTGGTTAATTTAATTGGTGAATTGATCGATTGAAAAATTAGAATTATCCGAAATAATGTTCAATCGATCAATTAACTGGTTGGCTAATTAACAAGCTAAATAAATAATTTGCTAGTTAATTGATTGATTGATTAGTTAATTAAATGAATGAATGAACGAACGAATAAATGAATGAATAAATAAACGAGTTAAAACACCCCAAATTCCCACCCCAAAAACTATCCCAAACTTACGACAACAATCCACTCCAAAATCTTCCGCACCATAAATTTGGTCCCTTGGGGCACCCACTTGAAGACTACCCCGCCAACCCTTAGGGCCAGCCAGCAAACGTAGAGACCCAAGGCTGCCGTGTAGAGTTCGTGAATTCGACTGTCACCCATCCAAAATGACATCAGCCGTCTGCCTATGTACACTTTTGTACGTTTTGGTATGTACGTTTTGGTTGTACGTGTGTGTATGCCTGTCTTTGTATGTATGTGTGTGTATGTTTTTGTATGTGTATGTATGTATGTATGTACGTATGTATCTATGTATGTACGTACGTATGTATGTATGTTTCTATGTATGTTTCTATGCATGTATGTATGATGCATATATGTATGTTTTTGTATGCTTTTTTTTGTAAGTTTGAATACTTATGTACACTAGTATGTTTTACAACTCACATAATATGCAAATTATCATCTATATTATGCATAATTAACTAGTTAAGTGCGACGAAATAACCTGGAACTACGAAGGAGATCAAACTGGTTATGAACAAAGTTAGGCACATGAGAGTAACCAATACGATCAGCTGTCAATCAAAATGTAGGGATGTGCTTGTGTTGTGTATGAATGTATGTATATGTGTAAGTTAGTATCTATATTTATGTGTTTATATCTAAATGCGTGTGTGTGTGCGTGTGTGTGTGTGTGTGTGTGTGTGTGTGGTGTGAATTAATTAACCAGTCAATCAACAAATCAATGAATCAATCAACCAACAAGTCTTTCAACAAATCAATCAACAAACAAATTTTTCAACCACTCAATCAATTAACCAATCAAAAGCCATCCAATCAAAAGCCAATCAATCAACCAACCAATCAAAAGCCAATCAATCAACCATTCAATCAAACCTTGATCGAGAAGTACGTGGGTGTATTGTAGGGCTGGAATCCTAACGCTCCAGCTACATTCATCATTGCTTGGTGCCTTTCACCAAGTCCCATTGGAGCCACAAATTGTAGTAGCGGTAGCTGTGGTAGCTGTGGCTGTTGTGGTTGTTGTTGTTGCTGCTGCTGTGGTTGATGTTGTCGTTGTGGCTGCTGTGGTTGATGTTGCTGTTGCTGCAGTAGTGGTTGGTGTTGTCGTTGTGGTTGTTCTGGTTGATTTTGTTGTTGTTGTAGTAGCTGCGATTGTTGTGGTTGCTGTTGTTGTTGTCCTAATGACATTGGTTCCGACTGAGATTGTTGCTGAGATTGTTGGTTAGTCTGACGTGTTGACGTTGTTCCAGTTGTTGTTGTCGTCGTCATTGTGGTTGCACTAGTTAGAGATTCAGGCAGTAGATGGCTTTGTTGTTGTTGCTGTTGCTGCTGCGACGAATTTAGCGGCTGTTGGAGCGGCGACAAATTTTCTTGTGGCAGTAGTAGTAATTGATGTCTTTTTGATCGTTGTTGTCGTTGCAAATTAGCTGATGTTATTTTTTGTCCTCGTTTTTTTATACCACTACCATCATCATCATCATCATCATTATCATCATCATCATCATCATCATCATCATCATCATTATAATTAACAACGTCACTAGCAGCATTACCAGAATTAGCGTCAGAAGTAGATGATGTTTTCTCTGCATTACCTTTACCACCATTGTCGTTATCATCATTATTAACATCTTCAACTCCATAAAGCAATCTTTCTAGCAGGTTGTAATCGGCGATATTTGACTTATCAACAATGGCCTCGAAGTTAGTTTTAGAAACCTTCTGAGAATCTGAAATGGTCTGACCGAGATTTTCATCGGCCAATCGGAATTCAGCTACCGCTACGTGGTCAACACTGCTGTCCAATGGGATTTCGTTATTCGTAGATCTAGTGGATTCTGACGCGTCTGGTTGGTTAGATTCTACGGGTATTTGACCTTTAACCCCGGGTTCATCGCGACGTAGATTATTATCAGTTGTAAGATTCAAATCCGATTTTGTTTTATGACTCTTGCTAACTTTTTTAACTTCCTTTGTGCCTTCGGCAATAGTTTCACTAACTTCAAAATCAGAAGGGTTGGATTTCAAATTTTGGTTCGTTGCCAATTTAGCTTCAGTTTGATCAAATTTTTCTTGTATAGTTGCTTGCGTTTCCACGAAATGTTCGCCAATTAAAAGACCAGTTGGAACGCCAGTCTTCATCTTCGTCTGATCGACTTCCATTTCCGGGTGACCTAATTTTTCATTTTCATCCTCCTCCAACTTTTTCTCATCCACTTCTGCTCTCGGTTGCTGGCCTACATTGTTATCTTTGCTATCAACATCGGCATTAGTTTCATTTTTGTTTGCGGTTTCAGTTTTGTTGGCAGTTTCAGTATCGTTTTTGAGCGGGACATCCCCGAGAAGGTAGGACCTGATGTCTAGGAGGTAGGAGACGGCCAGACACCAACCGCGGACCAAGGTCTTGATCCAGTTTCTGATGTGACCCTGTTCGAGTAAGGCGGGTAGGATGACTTGTAGGAGGAGGAGTTCCAGGGAGAGTTCGCTCATCACAGTTTCTGGACTGTTTGTTTGTGTTTGTATGTGTAAGTGCGTTTGTTTGTTTGTGTGTGCGTGTGTGTGTGTGTGTGTTTGTGCGTGCTTCAACGTGCTCATATCTTTGATATGAATTAATTCATCGTTATTACCATCATTTAAACTTTTAAAACGCTAGAATCGTAGGAATAATTTTCTGAATAAACCAAACGGACTTTATCACCGTCATCACCAATATCCTCATCAAACTCATCATGATAAAATCATAATCGCCATGATCATCACCACCAGCAGCAGCACCACCACCACAACCACCACCACAATCATCATCATCATCGTCACATCGTCATCATCATCATCACAACCGACCTGGACATTGAAACTTGAAAGGGTAGAAAGGTGGGCAGAACCTTCTGGATGAAGAAAACGGGCAGCTTCAACATGACGAGAACGATCGTTCCGAAGACGACTAGAGAGGCTAAAAATCTCCTGACGTGTCTGTAGACTGGCAGGTTGATCATCTGAGGAGGAAGATACTTCTTAGCTTTTTGTTTGTTCTCGTGTTATACGTTAAGAAAAATATAATCACCCAATCAACTCATTCAGCCAACCAACCAACCAATCAATCAAACCAGCCAGCCAACCAATCACCCAACCAACCAATTAATCAATCAATCAGCCAACAAATCAATCAAGCCAACCAATCAACCAGCCAACCAATCATCCAAACCCACCAACTAACTTCCTGAACAGGATTAAAATCCGGATCGTTTAGATTCCTAAGGAACCAGAGAACTCCAGGTCTCAACACCTCTCTTAACAGCAAGATAAATGACGCGAAGTAAAAAATGTAGACCATGCCGACGAGCCAGTGCAGAAAGGACGATGAAGTTGGTGACGATTTGAAGTTGCCTAACCTCTCTTTCATCGTCATGTCGAACATGCTCTGGTAGTAGTGGCGGGTGGTGGTGACGCGTGTGTTGTCGTCGCGATTAATTGGAACGATCGTGACGTCATCGCGATCACGTGATTTCACGATCACTCGTGACGTCATAATGACGTGTTGGGGTGGGTGAGGTATTGTGACGTTGAAATGATGCAAAAAAACAACGTATAAACAAAACGGCAGATAAGAAACAAATAAACAAACAAACAAACAAACAAAGAAAATTAAAACAAAGATCGGAGAGCAAAGAAGCGAAACAAAGAACGAATAAACACGCCAAAGAACCGACAAACAAAGAAAAAAACAGACCAAAGAACAGATATCCAGCCACCATCCGCAAATCAACGGAAAGATGCTAATCTCCATGACCACGAGCAATGAAACTTTCACGACGATGTAACATACGCCTGTCAACTTTTTTATCCTGGCGGGAAAAAAAAATCCTCCTCCTCATCATTATCACCATCACAACCGCCGCCACCATCATCATCATCATCGTCATCACAACCACCACCATCATCATCGTCATCACAACCGCCGCCATCATCATCGTCATCACAACCACCACTATCGTCATCATCATCGTCATCACAACCACCACTATCGTCATCATCATCATCGTCATCACAACCACCACTATCGTCATCATCATCGTCATCACTACCACCACCATCATCATCATTACCATCGCCACAATATCACCATCACAATCCCCACAACTTCATCGCCATCATCAAGACCGACCTCTTAAATTTTAAAACTCCAGACAAGTAGTTAAAGGTCGACAGTATAAGACCCGTCACTAAATAGCCAAGCAACGCTGATAACAAACCATCAAACCTGGTAGCTACGAACTTCAATCAATCAATCAATTAATTATAACTAATTATAGTTAATTGATCATAATAAATTATAGTCGATTAATTATGATTAACAATAACTATAATTGTAATAAATAATAGCAGTAATTAATAATGGGAATGAGATCCGACAACCATCCGCTACTAGCTCTGAACTAAACAACCAAATAACAACAACAACAACAATAATAATAATAATAATAATAATAATAATAATAATAATAATAATAATAATAATAATATTAATAATAATAATGATAATAATGATAATAATAATAATATTAATATTAATAATATTAATAATAATAACAACAATAATAATAATAACAATAGTAACAACAATAACAACAATAACTCACATAATTCTTTATGTCGAAAAAAGTGATAATGCAATTACCAATGTGGAAAGGACAAAAAGCTGTTTTGTTGGTGGGGGTGGGGGGAAATCATCATCATCGTCATCATCATCATCATCATCCTCATCATCATCATCACTATTATTATCATCATCGTCGTCGTCATCATCATCATCACCATCACCATCGTCGTCGTCGTCTTCATCGTTGACACTAACCAAATAGCAATATGAATAGAGTGTTGAGTGAAATAACCCAGAATACGTGCTCCAGAAATTGTAGTGAACCGTCTAAACCTAATAACTGGATAAATTTAAGTGGGCGAACAAATGAATGAATGAATGAGTGAATGAATGAATGAAAAATAAATATATCATCCATCCATCTATTCATTCCTTCATTCATTCATTTGTTCGTCCATTAATGCATTCAATTTAACCGTTCATTTTATTAACCATCTATTGGTTTGTTTATTCGTTCGTTCCTTCAATCATTCGTTCAGGCAGACCTACAACCCTTCATTCATGCATACATGCATTCATTCATTCATTCATTCATTCATTCATTCATTCATTCATTCATTCATTCATTCATTCATTCATTCATTCACTCACTCTTTCCCATGTTAGCTCTTCAGCAGCTCTATCCCATTCCAGCGGATTCCAATTATTTTCTTCTGGTAATGATAGTGATGCCGATGATGACGACGACGACGATGATGACGACGATGATGGTGATGATGACCGACAAAAAATTAAACAAAAATATTCTTTCATCATAATAATAACCTTCTCAAAAAAAAATTGATCAATCATATACCATTTCTAGCATTATTATCGCCGTTGTTTCTTTGCTGCTGTGGCTGCAGTGGCTGTTGTGGTTGTTGTCCTTGATTTGCGTTTGGCTGTAGGTTTAGTGTAAATAAATAAATTTAAAGAGAGAATAAATTAGCACTGGTGTTTTATTAAATACACTCCCTTGGTGAATACAATTTAATTCTGTTATAAATTAAACGAACAGCAAAAACAACGAGAACAACTTTAACAATAGGCAGAGTGACAGCGTAATGGTTAGAAGCGCTTGTTCCTGGCGTTGCAGTGACTGAGTTTGAACGCAAACAGATCTCCAGACACCTACTTACCTACCTACCTACCTACGGCATGCATGCCATGTTTATCATTCCTCATTTTCACTTCTATTTATATAATCTGTGTCTCTTTTTTGTTATATACCTCTGAAAAAGTGCGACTACGTTAAAGAGAATGACCTCTTTGAACTTTTTAACCTTTTAACAATAACAATAATAGCAACAACATTACTATAAACAACGACAACAACAACAACAAAACCACCTCAACATTAGCAGCAGCCTCTCTTTCATCATCATCATCATCATTCTCCCCATCATCCCCATCATCATCATCATCATCGTCGTCGTCGTCATCACCATTGGCGGCCATATTGTTGAAATTATTGGGAAAATTCCCTTGGGGAACCCCCGGGACCATATTGTTCGGACCAATCATGATCTGCTCTCTGAGCCAGACGAGGCTTATGAATGTGCACAGAGTACAAGTCATTATGAAACAACCTCTGAAACAGTCTGAAATTATGTTCTCCCTGGATGAATGAGTGAAGGAAAGAGTGAATGTGTGGATCAGTGAATTAATGAGTGAATGAGCGAGAGAATGAATGAATGAATGAATGAATAAATGCATAAATGATGAATGAATTAATGCGCGTCATTATGAAAAAACCCGTGAAAAGGAGAATGAGAGAATAAAATACAAATAATAGAAAAAAAGAACGAACGAAAGAAGAATGAATGAATAAATGAACGAACGAACGAATGAATAAATGAATGAAAGTGTGACTGAAAGTACGAACGACGAATGAATGAATGAATGAAGAAATGAACGGTCAATTGAAGGACTGGACGAACGAGAGAACGACGAAATAAAAGAATGAAATTAAAAACTAACGTCGACACAAAATCGAGCGGTAGTGAGAGTAACGAACCGACAGAACTAGTAGTAAAAAGACACCTATATATCCTACCTGTGTATAATATTAAGAATAATAATAAGAAGAATAATTAATCATAATTAAAAAAATTATTTTTACTAAATTATTTATAAAAAAAAATAAAAGATATAGATAATAAATAGAAAAAACGCTATCATACCTACATTCACTTCATTTCATTCAATGAACTCAATTAGTTAATTATACATATTAATTGACACATTTATACAAATTATCATAATTAACTATAATTAATCATAATTCATCGTTATAATTCACAAAGACGTTTCACACAAGTCTTCATAATTCGCCACAAATATTCCATAAAAGATTAAATCAATCCAGCATGAATTCTTATAACTTTAAAAGGTAAAATTATAAAATTTCTTATTACTCTTAATTATAATCAATCACATGTAACCATAATTCACCACAATTCATCATATTTTAACCATAACACTTCTCAATCATCACAATTTATCAAAATTAGTCACAGTATTTCCCATTAAAAATCAAAATAATTGATAAAAGTGTACAAAAATTCACCATAATTCTTCACAATTCATTACAATTTACCAGAATTATTACAATTCATTACAATTTACGATAATTATCCACAAATAACCATAGTTTACCATAATTAATCATAATCATTCATTTTTAAATTGACACTACTAACAAGCTGCTAAAGGTACCACCCCAAGCCAAGCAATAGCCACCAATGTATAATGGAGCCAATACCTCAGGGCCCGCCCTACACTTCTGAATAATCCGCCTAAAATATCCTTAATAGGCAGACGTTTTGGCATGTCTGGGGCATATACTGAAAGAAACCATTTTTAATATTGTTATTATTATTATTATTATTGTCACCATCATCATCGTCGTCAACATCAATACCATAATCTCATTCTTTCAATTATCATCACCACCGTCACTACTACCATCACTGCCACCATCATCTTCACTAGTATCATAAATTATGATAATTATCATCGTAATTTAGAATAATTATTATCGTAATTATGAATAATTATTAACGTAATTATTAACAATTATTATGAAAAACCTGGAGTAAACAGATATTTGTGTCTGCATAGCTCGCAGTACTCTTTCTTGCTATAGTTCAACCACTGAACTAAGCTAAGGAGGAAAAATTTGAAAAGAAATTTTAATAATTATTTCGACAAAATTAATGATGAAAAAATATGAATAATAAGAAAACAATTAAAATAATAAAAACAATTATGAACCAATTTTAATTATTTTATAAATATTACCAATCTTGGTGGATAAATTTGATGCTGCCTGTACATAGGCATGGATGGAATAAAGGCTTCTCAATGGAACCCTCCAATCGACATACTCTACATACATCTAAGCATAATTAAACAAATTTATATTATAATTTTTATGCTATAATTTTTATAATTATATTTATTATTAATATTATTCGGTGATTCTTGTATACTCCACTTATTAAAATCTATAATTTTAATTTTAACATTGAAAATGTAGATGGTATATCTGGCAATGGTTAAGATAAATGGCCTGGGTTTTGATTATAGCAGTAGGTATGTTTTGCACAGTGACTATCTGTGACCAGGTTCAAATGCAAAATTAACTCCCAACTTACACCAGTATTCATGCAAGCAATGCCCATTTTCATGAGTATCTTTCAACATATTTTAACATACTAGCTAACTGTGTCTGTGTTGTTTATTTAACTTAACCTTCCAAGAATTAATTATTATCATAAAGGATAAAACTAAAAACAAGACTGATCAACTAGTTATTTAATATCTTAATTAGTGTGTTAACTATAGTTAGATAAAATTTTATTTCTAATCAACCTTAATTTTACTAAAATTACACGGTTAGACGTTACTTTTGAGTTTATTTTTGGTCTGCTTAGCTTACATACTTAGCTCTTGGCAGCTTATTTTAAAAATTTTAACATAACTTTTTTAAATTTGGGCTTTAGATTTTTAATTAGTTAATCAGAAAAATTAAAATTAGTCCGATAATATTTAGTATTAAAAGTAAAATAAAACAAAAATAAAATATCGGCCTGTGAAATTGAATATAAGATAGAAAAAAGTTTAAATATTGCGAAAAATCATTTGTTTACAACCGTGCTTGTCGTCCATTTTGTTTTTTAAAAAAACTTCAAATAACCAATAAAATTTCTAACATTTTTTTCTTAATCCACTTTTAAACTTTTTTTAATCTCCGTCCACACTTCAGTCCCAGACGAACAAACCAACAGGGCCCAAGCTTATGGACAAAGACAATAAATCAAAATTTTATTCGGTCTATAATACAGATAAATATATTTAAAATTTGAAAATGGCGAAAAAAGATTAGCAATTAATTACTAATATCTCCCAAAAAAAGGTTAAGAAAAATCGAGTCATGGCGAAATATATATATACATATATATATGTATGTATGTATTTACATACATACAAAAGCATGCAAACACACATAAAAATTGATTAAAATAGACAAAAACTTGATACAAACGTCATTATCATCCATAACTAAAAAATTGATTAATAATTAAAAATTACTCATTATTATTAATCATTCAATTGATAATTTGATTAGTTAACTGTTTAAAAAATAAAGTTACTTTTTGAACCATAATAATGCCAAGTCGAATTATAATTATAGATGAAAATAATTGATGTTATAATTATTATTAAATAAAAAAAGACACTTATGCTATAAAATTATATAAATTTATTAATAAGAATCAAGAATGAAATGCAAATACATAAAAACACACATTCACACACAAATACACACACACAACCATATTTAGATAGATTGTATAAATAATTATATATATATAAAAATAATTATATATATATATATATATATATATATATATATATATATATATATATATATATACACATATATATACTTCCATTGCATGCATTTAAAAACATAATGATTTTATATATACATATAGATGAATTCATGATTAAATTCGACAAAACTTAATATATATATACATACACATGTATAGTTACATACACATAAATAGAGATACATACACGCACACACACACACGCACACAGAAAGATAGATAGATAGATAGATAGATAGATAGATAGAGAGAGAGAGAGAGAGAGAGAGTGGAGTGTAGTCATTCACAGATCGGTATTTACAAAAATCACTTGATTATTCTTGAAGTGTAATTGTAGTTTTTCTATACTCTTGCCGGCCATAAAACCTACACAACGAAAGTTAGACTCACAATTTATAAATATTATTCACCCATTAGATATAGATAATATATAGAGATAGAGAGAGAAAAAAAGAGAGAGAATCATTTCTAAACAAATATAGCATCATATATTTAGAACTTTTTCCAAGAAATATAACCACCTCCTCACATTATTGTAGCAAGATATTTAAATACAGTAAACCGAATCAACCGTAAAAATGTAATATTAACGTATGTTACGATATTTTTGCACGTATAAAGCCTCATGTAGATAGTCAACACAACCGTATCTGGAAATTTGGAAATAGCTTCTTGGAAACACGTGCAGAATGTAAAACTCGCTGGCTACTAAACGAAAGATAGCAGTGGCAACTAGATTATTAATGAACAAAATCTGTACGCTAACTATACTCAAATAATTGAATACAAATCGATCATTTATAACATAAATAAATAAAATACATATAAATTATTAAATAGAACGTCTTAACGGATGAAAATAATTGAACGGGTAGGTATAGAGTAACTTTGGATAATTTCAGTGAAATTAATTGTCAACAGCAACAGACTAATTTAGAAAATTAGGCAAAAAATTAATAAATTAAATAAATTTTTGGATACTACAACTACCGAGAAGAAAGATGTGATAGATAGATAGACTAGTGAAGATGTAGGTATAGTAAGTCATATAGCATAGCATTATAAACGTACGGAGATATTTCCAAAACGTAATCTTGAAGGAACGTCAACTGGCATCATATTTATTGGAATATAAGCTAACCTGTGCAATCACTCAATGATTAATCCCAAAACCAATCAACAATCCAATCATCTGCTGGCTTATTAATCTACGAGTTAATCAACCAGCCACTCAGATTTCAATCAACCAGCCAGCCAACCAACCAACCAACCAACCAACCAGCCAACCAACCAACCAATCAATCAACCAATCAATCAATTATTAGGCCCATTACGAGAAAGCCTCTCAGTGACGACAGCATGCAGACGCTTCTTGAACCTTGTATCATCGTTACTGTGAGCGCTGTCGTCACAGTCGTTCATATTCATCAGATTTTTGTTTGTGTTTGGAGTTAAGTTGCAGCTGCTGAAGTTGCAGCTGCTGTTAATGTTTGGAGTGTTGCTGCTACTACTGCTACTACTGCTGGTGGTGTTGTTGTTGTTGCTGCTATTGAATGAGCCCTTTTTCAGCATTTTGTTTATCTTGTGCAAATCCTGATTGTGAGGGAGAAGAAATATTTTACAAGGATTAACATATATACGTATAAAGGCGATACGCACACACACACACACACACAGACATTTATATATCCATATAAAATCAGCACATACAAACACCAACATACGCGCACACTGATATAAAAGATACAAATGCATACAAATGCATACAAACAAACAAACATACATACATACATACATACATACATAAATACATACGATCAAACATACAAAAAACTTGAACAGAAAACATACAAAACAAGATACAAATCAGACCTGGGATGGGCTCTTATTGAAACAGTAGAAAAGAGCGCTGCAAGGAGTCAAACTACCACTTGCACCGTTGTTGCCGCTGTTGTCGTTGCTACTGCTGTTGTTGTCGCGGTATCTAGACATGCCTCTGCTACTGTTGTTGTTGATAGGCGAGACATAGATGTTGTTGCAGACGCGTCTGGGAGAGACCATTTGACTGTGCAATGCCGGTAGCGGAGACAGAATGACGTTGCCTGATTTCTGTGCACGTGTGTTAATGTTCATATGTATGTTGGTTTGTTAATGTTCATATGTATGTTGGTTTGTTTGTTTGTTTGCTTGGGTGTTTGTTTGTTTGTTTGTGTGTGTGTTACACTTCACATCAGGATAAATAACAAAATACAATTATAATAAAATAATAATATTTATAAGAGTCTCTCACTCCATCTTTGATGTTGAACTTTATGGCAAATGATTTGACCAGTGCTATGAAAATCTGGCAATATGAAAATATACATTTTAACTCTTAAATCACCCTCCTAATACTCACTTTCTCACTCACTCACTCACCATTACATTCATTCATTTTACTCACTCACTAACTCACTCATTTACTCACAGAGTTATAGAACTTAATCAGATCACCCCTCTCCTCGAATTGAAACGACGTACCAACGCCAGCCACCTTCGTCGGAGTCGGTGGCTGACTTTCTGGCTCCGGCCCAGGTAGGGTACTCGAGGAACGTACCATATTCAGCTCTGGGGGGGGTGTTCAAGTTTGTTTGGTCAAATTTTTATAGTACATTTTTCATAGTTTATGTTTCAGGTGAGTGTGAATTTTAACTTTTAAAAATGCACCATTGAGATGAATTTGTAATTCTATACAGCAGGCACATTCTGGCTAGGATGAATTATAATTTTTCCAAATATTTAGGATCATGCCATAATTGACTTTGGTGAATGGATGGTGAAATATTTAGGATCATACCATAATTGGTTTTGGTGAATGGATGATTTTTAATAAATATATAAATTAATATTAATAATTTAACAAAATATGAAAGAATAAAAACCCTCACCTTGCTTATTCTCCCTCCTCAATCTCCGTTCATCCCTAGCGTCCAGCGCTTTGGCCACCTGACCGGCAGGCTCAAAAAAATTGGAAGATGAAGTTGCTACTGCTGATGCTGCTGTTGGTAAATTGCGATTCTCAAGTAACACACTCCTGTAAACCTGTATACAGATATTTGGTGTATTGTAGGATTAGTATTTTGTATTTGTATGCGTTAGGGGTTATGATTGTAGCATAAGGTGTATCTTTTACAAATCTCTCTTTGACATTTCTCAGATTAGGCTATCAGTACAGGCAACAACATATGAATCAAGGACTCACTCACACACACACACATATATATATATACACACACACACACACACACACAAACATTTGGTAGATGAGGTCCTCTCTTTACATTCAAACCCAAGCAATGCTGCCAGATAACTTGGCCATAATACCATTAGGCCACACCAAAATGATTGAGTAATGTAACCATAGAAAAAAAAATTATCTATACATACGTGACTCTCAGCTTGTGGTTGCTGCCTGTAGCATTTCATGATCTCGTGGAATGAACAGTTATAATCTCTTACCTTCAACCAGTTAATCAATCAAACAATTAATCACAATCTATCAATCAAACAATTAATCAATCAATCAAACAATTAATCATAATCTATCAATCAAACAATTAATCAATCAATCGATCAATCAAACAATTAATCAATCAATCTATCAATCAAACAATTAATCAATCAATCGATCAATCAAACAATTAATCACAATCTATCAATCAACCGACGAATCAGTCAGTCTATCAGTCAAACAAACAAACAAACAAATACATACAAACAAACATACAGAGATACCATACAAACAAACATACCTTACAAATAACATACACACAGCACATGATCAGCTGATCAATATGCCTGTCCATCAGTAGATGTATGTGCTGGACGAACGTGTACTCGAAGCAGGTCCAGATGATATTGCACAGATACTGGTCGATGCCGATGCGATCGCACAGATCCCTCAGTCGCGTACTGGCCAGGTAATAAACCTATTAGTAGCATAATAGGGTGTTGTAAATTATGAAATTAAGACATGATTTTGATGACTATCATTAATGATGATTAGTGATTTAAAAAAAAGATAACACAACCAAAATAGCACAATAACAGTATAAACAATGAAAAATACACACACACACACGCATACACACACACCTTTCTAAAGAACAACGGTATTGATCCTGATTTTTTAGGTTTATTATTATTATTATTGTTGTTGTTGATGACGACGTTTTCGTTGTTGACAGTAGCAAGGGAGGCCATCTTGGTGGGGGGAGCGCTCGGAATGCTGTCGATCTTTTCAACGTTCTTTCTCTTCTGCTTTGGACTGAGGTGTATTATCACACTCTACGAAGAGGTGGAAAAAGTTGACCAATGACGTAATCTTAATCAGACAGCAACACAACTTTAACTTTAATACAGCAGTAACAACAAAATTTTAATTCTGCTAAAAATAAACAAACAAACAAACAACCAACCAAGCAAACAAACAGCTCATATAAAACATGTAAAATACGCAAAAAAGTAAAACAAATGCATATACAAACACTCCACGCCACACACACACACACACACACACACACACACACACACACACACACACACACACACACACAGCCCAATCCCATAACCAACCTTATTGCAACCAGCACCAGCATTACTATTAACATTATTCCTATTACTATCAGCCATAACTGATCTGGTAATTATATTACCAGTTGCAACTGTTGAAGCAGTAGTAGCAGTAGTGGAGGCAGAAGAAGTAGTAAAAACGTTTGCAGCAGTAACAGCCACCAGACTAATAGCATTACCAATACTGTTACCACCGAGTGTAGTAGCAGCCCTTGAAGCAGCCACCTTCCTAGTAGTGATGGTCTTAGTGGGTGAGCGGGTTATAACTATGGGAGTAGTATTAATAAAACCGCTAGAAGCAGTGGTGAGGTTACCATTATTATTTGTAGCAGCAGCAGCAATAGTAGTAGTAGTAGATGATGATGATGACACATTTATAAGAGGTGTTGATAATGATGTCGATGATGACGACGACGATGAAGGCGTAGAGTCGAATAATCTTCTTTTCACTGGAACTGGAGATGTGAAAGCATCGACTATCGGTTGATTGGAGTGCGACCCTGCTAGCGTTGATCGGTGGCGGTGATTAAGATTATGATGTGATGATTAATAATAAGATGGTGGTGATGTTATTACTAATGATTAAGATGGCGACATCAGATATGATTATAACAGTGATTCTGACTGACGTCAGTGATCATTAATACTATTATATCATGATATATCATAATGTATCATAATATTTATTTATTCATCAAATCATATCATAATATATCACAATATTTATTTATTTATTCATCAAATCATATCATGATATATCATAATATTTATTTATTTATTCATCAAATCATATCACAATATATCATATCCACATTTGATACAATGACGGTGAGGATGAGAGTGAAACAAATGAGTGAATGAACAGGTGAGCGAGTGAATGACCCAATGAATGATGAATTAATGAATGAAAGATCAACACAGCCTAGACTGCAGTTATAACCTGTGTTAAAATCATTAAGATGAAATAAACAAATAAATGATCAAAGGTACAAATTGTACCTTGGTTAACTAAATTCAACATAACGGTATATACAGAATTGATAGGGGAATTAAGATTTTGTTGTGGCTGTTGTAGCTGCGGCTGTCGTGTGGCAGTCGACGACGTTTTGGTATTATTATTACTATTACTATTATTATTGTTGTTGTTGTTATTAGTGTTGTTATTGATGTTATGGTTGTTGATGTTCTCAGAACTGAACTGGCTCGGCAACAACACCTATTGATATATGTCGTTATAAGAAGTGGTAGCATCCCAACAACTTATGATATAAAATCTAAACAACAACAGCAACAACCACTACATCATCACCATCAGCAACTATGGAACTCATCATCAACGTCATCGTTACCATAATTATAACAATCATCATCATCATCATCATTATAGAAATCACCATCACTATTATAACAATCATCACCGTCATTATAGAAATCATCACCATCACCATCATTCTTATATCAATCATCATCACCACCATTATTGTTGTTGTTATTATTATTATTATTATACCTCCTCAACAGTTGGAACGGGTCCATATTTCTTCAAGACGTCCCACAGCACAGAATCACTCCTCCACACTTTACTTTCTAGGACTATCTCCTCAATCTACCAAGTGAATGAACGAATGAATAAGTCAGTCAATCAATCAATTAATCAATTAATTAATTAATCAATCAATCAATCAGTCAATCAATTCTCTAACAAATTAGCCAGTCAGCAAACCAGCTAACCAATCAATCAATCAATCAATCAATCAATCAATCAATCAATCAATCAATCAATCAATCAATCAATCAATCAAATCAATCAACCAACCAATCAACCAACCAATCAACCAAACCTTATTCAAGTGCTTAACGACGTCTCTAGAAAATCCCTTCTCAACCCTGTTAACAATCTCAATCACTTTGTAGAAACTGAAAGCCGGAATTTCCAATACATCAATTATCCATGGGAAAATCCTGACAAGATATAAATAGAATTGATATATATATAAAGTTATTTCAACAAATCAAATAACTTATCTAGCAACATAAACCCACAAATACATACATACATACATAAATACATACATACATACACACAACCGAACGCACATACCATACATACATACATACACACAACCGTACACACATACATAAATACACACATACAAACAAACAAACATACAAATATACATACACACATAGACGCACACAAAAAACACATACTTTGGAGAGTTATATGAGAATATGACAATCTCCAGGCATACTGCAAACAAGGATCTGTGTAATTCATCTTGGACTAATATGGTCTGCAAGAAATTTTAAAAATATTTAACCAAAACTACAAGTATCAAAACTACAAGTATACAAACAACAGAAAACATACAAGCCCACAACAAATATACAAGCCCACAACAAACAAACAATCCCACAGCAACAGACAAGCCACTCAAGCATACAAACAATCTACAAAACAAATCAAACTGACAAGAGACATATAACCACCACCAATAGACAAACACACATAGTCAAACAGAGAAACAACCAACCAACCAACCAAACAAACAAACAAACGAACGAGAGAAACGTACAGAAACGACTGTATTAATCTGCTTCTCTAAGAAATTTGGATTTTTAGATTCACTCTGTATTATCTTCTCCAACAACAGGTAATATAAACTCTCAGATAAGTACAGTCTGCTCTTTACTATCGTGTTGTTCATGTTGTTGCTGTCGTCAATGACGTTTTTGTTGTTGCTGTTGTTGTTGGCGTTGTTTGGCTGTCACGAGAAATTTTATTGCTAAGTTAGTTAGGTACTTATGTGGGTGCAAATGTATTTAGGCAATGTAAAAATGATGACATTAACTAATAATAGTATGATTCAACAAAATTGATCAGTCAGTCAATCAATCTATTAGTCAGCCAACCATCCATCAACCAACCAACCAACCAACCAATCATCAGCCAAACCTGTAAAAATTCTCTGCAAAAAATGGCTCCCATATCTCTAATCCTCTTTGTTATAGATGCAGAAGGGTTCTTTGGACAATTTCTATTTTAAAAAATTAATAAAGAAATAAAATAAATAACTGATGAACTTGAGATAAAATAATTAATAATTCTGAAAAAAATATAAGGACATAAATATAAAAAACATGAATCAATTGAAAAGCCCAAAAAACTCAAGCTAACTCAAACAGTCTAGACAGTTCATCTGATGGACCATACTTGCGACTAGAGAGCAGGGCAAGCAGACGACTGACGCTGTGCGTGGCTGTCGAGACGGGGGAAGTGAATCTGTCTTTTTCTCCGAGGTAGCCTCTGTTCGTCAGCGGTGTGGTGGGATGCAACTGTTTCGTCTGTTATTTTGGTGGAAATTCATACAGGGTGAAACATTTTTAACCAGTCAGTCAAATATTCAATTAACCAATCAACAATTGCATTGTATTGTCATCAAATACAATACAATACAACCAGCCAACCAACCAACCAGTCAGCCAGCCAACCAACCTCTAATGATTTAGTCCAATGCTTGTCAACATCAGAGCCGGTACTGGCATTCTCACCGTCACCATTGTTACCATTATTACACTTGACCATCGGCGTCGACGAAGCTAACGAGGTCGATGATGACGACGCATTTGCAGATGAGGATGATGACGATGGCGGCGGTAACTGTGATGATGCTGCAGCTGCTGCTGAAGTAACGTTGCCAGCTTCACTATTGGCAGCTGCTGTTGACGACGGGGATAGCAAAGATCATTTGCGTCATCATCAATGGAGGTTAAATTTATCAGTAGAAACAACAATAATTACAACAGCATCAACAAATACAACAACCTCAACAACAACAACAACAACAACAACAGCAACAGCAACAACAATAACAATAATAAGGGTAGAAAAATTTCCCAAATGTTACCAATAGCACAAGGAGTATTGTTGGCAGGAGTGGGGGTGCCGATTTCAGCTGAAGCATCCGCCCCGAAGAAGACTCGCTCATCAAAATCTCCAATGTTTAAGACGAATTCGTCATATGTGCTATTTATAGATTTACTAGATGGGCGGAGAAAACAAGCCATTTATAGATGTATATAACAACAGTGGATAGGTAGATGGAATAAAATACTATATATAGATTTACTAAGTAGAGATTTACAAAAAAAAAAATTAGTGGATGGGTGGATAGAATGAAATGGATGAATACGGTATATCATGGATGAATAAAAGTGGAATAAATAGATAACTGAATACTTGTTTCTATCAAAATTTTCAAGTTCTAAAACTTTCATGAGATTGTCTGCCTGCCCTATCAGAATCTGGAATACAATTTCACCGTCATCACCATCAATGTTTTCATCATCACCATCAACATTTTCATCATCAGCATAGATTAAACAAACGAAATCAACAACCAAAAACCACACAAAAACGAACGAAAAAAAACCCCGAAACACTCAACCTTTTTCTCAAACAATTTTCTCATGTACTGCTTGAAGAAATGTTCCTTGATACCCTTTGCCTCCTTGTATATACCATCATGATTGTCACAAAGTATTTGTATGATACACGGTGGCTCAGATGGGATTTTGTATTCGCGAAGGCTGTAGTTTCTTGGCAAGCCTGGTCATGTGTACGCGTATGTATGTGTATGTGTGTGTGTGTGTATGTGTATATGTATGCGTGTGTGTACGTGCGAATGCTTGTCAGTGAATGTGCACGTAAAGTGCAAATCCCATGAGATTAAACTTGGAAAAACACTTTTCTACTGAAAAATTCATACCTAAAATCCACAAATAACACTCAAAAAAAAATCATAATAAAAACAAACTGACCATTACTTCATTAATTCACAATAGCAAATAATAATAATAATATTAATAAATAATAAATAAAATAATAAATAACAAAAATACTCTCACTACTAACCAATAAAATTATTGCAAATTAGGTCACGCCTGTTGCTAAGTAGGACGTTGGCAAAGAGCCAATCAAGGCAGCAGAGAAGGAGGTGGTAGCAGTTAACTAGGTCATCACTGATGGTCGAAAAATTCCCTGAAATTAGTGAATTTTTCTTTAAAGTTCAAGAAAAACCTAGTCTGTATTATAATAAGATTTTAAAGATTCAATTGGATAAACGAATTTTAACTTATCTCTTTACTTACTTTTAATACATGATAATGCATGCAATAAATATTTTAATTGTATTTCATTCAACATTTATATGCATACATAGGTAAGTGTGTATGTATTATGTGTACAAGTATGTAGGTGTTATGTGTAGAGGTACGTATGTGCATGTGTACAAACACACTCACCTTTAACTTGTATAAATGTACACCAGCAGAATGTGAACAGTTCATTTACTGTTATAGTGGTTCTCCTGGAAAGAAAGAAATTTGAAAAAAAACATGCATTGGTAATATTAGAAAGAAGACAAGTTGACAAGAGAGAAATATTTCAAATTTCTACAAATCCCATGAGATTAAACTTGGAAAAACACTTTACTACTGAAAAATTCATACCTAAAATTCACAAATAACATTCAAAAACAAAATTTTTCACTTAGAATAATTACAATCACAAACCACCATCACCTTTAAAAAAAGTGACAAAAAAATTATTAAATAAGGTTAGGCACATACTTCTGTTTTCTACCCTTAATAGCTTTTGGAGGATTGTCAGAGGACATTGAATAAGCACTGAGTGGAAATATTGGGCAGGAGAAAATATCCTTAAATATAGGTAGAAATTTATTGAAGACGACAGTTGAGACGGCAAAATTTCTTTCAAGTTTGTTCACTTTGTCTCTAAATTTCTGGGGAAGACTGCCCATGTCCACCCATTTTTTCATCTTTTTAAAGAATTCTATTATACTGTAGTAAGGATGTGTGTGTGAGTGTGTATGTGTGTGTGTTATGTGTTCATGATTGATATTGTCAAAAATATTTCTACTAGAGTATCAAATCTTTGGCTTTCCAACATATGAAAATTATTTTTTTAAATCATATAATTTTCTGATAATCTGACATAAATTCAGTACAATCATTTTATAATTTAAATAAACTTATGGAACAAACAAGGATTAAAATGTAAAATTTTAAAATACCGTTTAATACATATAACACTAAACTGTATGTGCAATCAAAAAACTCCAAAAAAAGTTTAATACCGAACTATATCAGCAATTTAAAAATTCAATAAAAAAAACTACAATACCAAATCACATTTACAAAGTAAAAATCAATAAAAAAAAGTAGAACACCAAATTACACCTACGACCTAAAAAGATTTTTAAAAAAAGATGCATACCTCAATTTAGTGGTCTTCAAAAGTCGTGTCAGTGATACGCAGTTACCCTCGACATCTTCATGACCTGAGACAGTGGGTACATGACTTTTCCTACAGGAAACATAGAGGGAACAGGCCAGCCAGTGCAACGAATCACCCTAGGAAAAAAATGAGCCTTTCATTTTGTTCTTAATTTCGTCATCATTTATATCGTTTGGGCCCCAGCACTCATTAAACCATAAAAAAGATTAAGTTTTAAGTGAAATACAATTATTTTGGTGTTGTATGAGTAATTTTGATGTAAGTAAGTCCAATTAATAATTGCAATATAAAATAAATGAAGCAGGGAAACCGTATTAAAAAAGAAAACCCAACACAAAGCCCATATATTATTCAAAAGAATGAGATAAAAATTGTATGATTTTTTATTTCAATTAATTTTTAATCATGCCTAATTCAATGAAAAATTAGATTAGTAGAATAAACTAACTAGTAAACTAATTTTATTAACTACTAACTTCGAGAGTGTAACTGTGGGAGATTCTTTCATAAGATTCCCAGGCGTCCTCTTCAGTTTCAAGGTCCATATTAAGATCCAGACACAAATCTTTCAATTTGTTCCTAATTTCAATATTCTCCCCACTATCCGACATACCCATTTTTAATTTTTGCGACTTTGATTAGAATTTTGCTTTTTTGCAATATCAAAAACTTATTTTACTAATTAAATTTTATAACTTGTTTTAACTAACTTGAGCTTTTGTTGATTTGTACATTAGTTTGATACTAACAATTTATTTCAATTTTTACATTAAATTATTTATTAAAATTAATTATTAATTAATATACTAATTAATAAATTAAATAAATCTTAAAAAATTAAAACTAGAAAAAAACCCTCCTGGGGGAAAAATATTCCCTAGAGAAAATCTAGTAATCTAGAAAGATCGATTTAAAGTTATAAAATTTACAAACGTCCCCATTCACTAATTTAAACAAAGAAGACGTCCGATTAGTGTAAAAAAGAAATCTAAACTGAAAAAGGACAAACAAAACTGTAAAACTGTTATTAAAACTCACGAAACTTTAATAATGAACCGACCAATAGGAAGACGTATAGGTGCCTTACAGCGGGATTTTAAATATTTCTCTAGCGCTATATTTTATTTTTCTACTTTCTCGTGCCTTATCCTTTCAGAACATTGGCGACCATCGATCTCCAAAAAACCCTATCTTTAGCACTTGTAGTAGTTGAAATGTGGTGATATTCAACTAGAATTAACTAGATTTTATAGTTGATAAAAAATATTTTTTGAAGGAGATATAATCGTGGATATGATATATAAATATCCATGGCTATAATACGATCTATGATATAAACAAAAGTGCAAACAACGTATCAGTTTCAAACGATATAAATACTGGTAACTGTTAATGACAACTTTAAAATTATGAAAGAAAATTTGATGAATGTGCGTAAACAATAACTGTCTGTTTAAACTAAATAATTTAATCTGACAAAAACAAAACAGACCAAAGTTTAAAGATTGAAAAGAAGTTAAAATCTTAGACAAATAAATCATCCTCCATTTCATTTACCTATTTACCGTATATCATATCATTTGCCTCAAAAAATAGCTATTCGATCGAATTTTAAAGTAAAAATTAACTGAAATATGGAGTTCGTTATGTTGAAAAGTCATAATCAGCAATGTTTGTATAACATCTGTTATGTAAAGTATATATATATATATAAACTTAATATATAAACCCTGAATATATATTATATTCATATAATAACATTAAAACATTGTTATATGTGTATAAATATACATACATATATATGTATATGAAACATTGTTATATATGTATAAATATACATACATATATATATGTATACGTATACATATATATGTAAATATATATATATACACGAATTTAATTGTATACGTATATTTCGTTTGCACTATACTATTCTATAGGTGGTATAAAACTGAAGTATAGACTGAAAAAATGAAACTTAACAAACGAGCCACTAAAAAATCTTCAACAAAATGCCAAAAATAAATAAAAAAATTGTAAATTTGATCAGTTTTTTCAGTAAATTATACATAAAATACATGCAAAAGTGAGCAAAGAAATAAAAGAAAATTCATAAAATAAATAACTGCAGACACATCCTCGCTCGAGCCATCATAAACACTTTTGCTTATTCTCGCATGTACGTTACGTTTTGCTCTTTTTCTTCTTAAATCTCGTGTTTTTCCTTAATCGAAACTCTCCGCCAGTTAGTGTTTCCAATTCCTTATTGATCCGGTGTCATTTTGCAATCTTTAGATCACGATGTCTAACGCAGCTGACTCAGAAAACTATGATGACGAATTAAAAGACGTCGTTGTTGACGCCAACAACAAACAAAAAACTCCTGCTGACAATATGGACGAACTCGACGAAACGACGGGCCAGACGCCGTTATTTAGCAAATCTTCCAGTGAAAACCTTCCCCACAAGGAAGATAGAATAGTCAAGAAGGCCAAACGTCCGTCGAAAGAGGGGGCAGCTGGTGCTAACAACGGGGCCCATGTTCATATTTCTTCTCACCCTCGGAGATCCAGACATAGACACGGAAATAAAGGAAAGCCAGGCCAGCCTAAGAAAGGTTGGTTGGGTTAATTTATTTTTTTATTTTTTTAAGTTATTGCAACTTGGAGTAAATAACTTGGGGTAAAATGTTTAGTTGGGGTAAATTAGGTGGAAATAATTTAAAATTATAAATTGCTTTTGTTGTTTTTAATAATTTAATAATTTAAGATAATTTATTTTTTATGGTGATTAATGATTGGATAATTATTGAGTCCTGATTGATTGATTGGTTGGTTGATTATGTAATTTTATGTAGTTGTTTTAGCAGAGATGTACATGATATATAATATTAGCATATATCTGGCAGAATTTGCTAAAATGTCATCAAGAGAAATCTATCTTCAAAGATTTTTTCATAATTAATTATTTCTATTTAGTTATTATTTAATAATTTTTCATTATTTTTTATATTAAATAAAAAATGTTTAATAAAAGACATTTAATTTTTTATTTATTCAAGTTTTTCCCCTTAATTTTAGGTGGTGCTGGAGGGAAAGGGGTTTGGGGTAAGCTGGGGTCAGAAATAGATGAGACCGGTGATTGTAGGGACGTGAATGATCCTAACTATGACTCCGATACTCAGGTTTGTGACGATTAAAAGTTAATTAATCATAAATAAAACTAATTATTTAATATTTAATAAAATTATATATCATCTTCCTTTACAGTGTGTTTGTTTTCCTTAGCCTTTCTATCATAGTAATTGAGTAAAAGTATTATTATGCTTTGAATATTTACCACTACTACTATTACTACCTCTACTGCTGTAGCTGCCTCTGTTTCTACCACTCTTACTTCTACTACTACTGCTGCAACTACTACTACTATTACTAATAGTAATAATAATTATAATTACAATTGTAATAATTATAATTACAATTATATTAATTATAATCACAATTATAATAATTATAATTACACTTATAATTATAATAATTAAAATTATGATAATTATAATTACAGTTAAAATAATTATAATTACTATGATAATTAATGGTAATTGGATTATATTAAAAACAGGGTGATTACAAGCTAGTGGCCATAGAGCCAATTCTGAATGATGAAGAGTTGGAAAAGGCAGTGAAACCCATATTACAGGAGTACCTTGAACATGGCAACACAATTGAAGTTGAGGTCTGGGGAATAATAATAATAATAATAATAATAATAATAATAATAATAAAGTTATTAACAAATTGTCATCTTGTTTATTCAATCCATCAGCTTGCAACTCAATCATTTCAACCAATCATCCCATTAAACTCCAGTTTATTATCTACCGTTTAACTCATTATTCCAACTGACCAATCAAATCACTGGTCTTCCACCAGCCAGCCAGCCAACCTACCAATCATGACTTAGTATTCCCCAATTGACCAATCAATTTACAGGAATCACTGTACGACCTAAACATAGGCGGTACCAATGGACACAAGATAGTGAAGATGGCGATTCAGCTTGGCCTCGACCGCCACAATAACCAAAGAGAGTTAATCTCCCAGCTAATTTCTGACTTGTACAACAATGTCCTCAGTGGGGTCGACATTTCGTCTGGCTTCGATGATTTGCTAAACTCCATTGATGATCTGAGGCTGGATACCCCGGACGCTCCTAATGTTAGTGCAATCTCTCGCTGCTTCTCTCTCTAATGAAATGATTAGTGTGGCGTGGTTGGTGGAGTTCTACTGTTTTACCATTGTTATTATCTTACTTACTATCGCAACATTTTGATTGACAGCTGCTGGGGCAGTTCATAGCCCGATGCATCGCGGACGACTGCCTGGCTCCTAAGTTCATCACCAACTATAAAGGGAAAGTGGAGAATAAGTATTTCAAGTAAATGATGATGATGATGATGATGATGATGATGATGATGATGATGATGATAGCGTGGAGATGATAATGTGGAGATTGGGATGATGATGATGATGATAACGTGGTGATGATGACGATGATGATGTGATAATGATGGTGATGATGACGACGATCTTATCACAATTATAGGGAAGCCCTTGACAAAGCCAACGTTCTAATCACCATGAAGCAAGGTTCATTAATTAATATTGTAACGGTCGTCATCATCACAATCGTCATCATCACAATCGTCATCATCATCACGATCGTCATCATCATCATCACAATCGTCATCATCGTCATCATCATCATCATCCAGGTATGGCTCATTTGGACAATATTTGGGGGGTTGGTGGCGGCAATAGACCCGTCAAGTACCTCACCAATAAGGTGGTGGTGATGATGATGATGATGACGTAGTTGATGATGATGACGATGACGAAGTTGATGATGACGATAATAATGACAGTGGTTCATTTAATGAGTCACTCAATCAATCTATCAATTAATTAATGAACCAGCCAAATATCAAATCAGTTCACTAATCAACCAACCTGTCATGCAATTATTTTTTGTTCAACTCAACATCCAATCAATCAATCAATCAACCAATCAACTAGCAAACCAATCAACTAACAAACCAACTAATCAATCATTCAACTAACAAACCAACTAACCAATCAGTCAACTAACAAACCAACCAACCAATCAATCATTCAACTAACAAACCAACCAACCAATCATTCAACTAACAAACCAACCAACCAATCAATCAACTAACAAACCAACTAATCAATCAATTAACCAACCAATCAACCAACCAACCAATCCAAAACAAGATGGTGGCCCTGCTGAAAGAGTACTTAAGTTCTGAAGACAAGCAGGAAGCGATGAGGTGCATCATCGAGCTGGAGGTGCCACACTTCCATCACGAAGTCGTCTATCAGGTTATTTATTATTTGTTATTCTTAATATTTATTAATATTATTATTATTGTTGTTGCTGTTGTTTTTATTTTTTTTAATACATACATACATACATACATACTTACATACACTCATGCATACATATGAACGAAAGGAACGAACGAACGAAATTTTATTTGCTTCTAAAACTAAAAAAATAATCATGCATACATACATACATACATACATACATACATACATCCACGCATGCAGGCCTGCGACATTGCAATTGAGAACTCTACTGAGCCTGTCATCAATCAAATGGTTTCTCTCATCAAGTTTCTCACTGTTGATACTGTCGTTATCACTCTTGATCAGTTTGAGAAGGTAGGAAGGAATGAAGGAATGAATAAAGGAACGGAATGAACGGAGTGGTGAACGAATGATTGATTTAACAAATGAATAGAGTGAAGAAAAATTATTGTCAGCCATAATCTCTCAATCAATCGACCAACCTATCATCATATCAGTTAATCAACCAATCAATCAACAAATTTAATCAACCAATCAAATCAACGAACCGACCAATCATTCAAATCAGCCAATCAAATCAATCAACTAATCAAATCGCTCGACCAATCAGGGAATCAAGAGAATATGCGATGACATTCATGACATTAGCCTTGACGTTCCGAATGCCGCGTTTCTATTGGATCAGATGTGCGTCAAACTGAGAGAGGTCCGAGTCATTGGAGACGGACTGTTTCAAGAACTCAGCAACAAGTAAGCACCTGATTGGTCGGCTGATTTGATTGGTCGGCTGATTTGATTGGTCGTCTGGTTTGAATGGTCGGCTGGTTGATTGGTCAGTTGGTTAGCTGGCCGGTTGGCTAATTGGTTTGATCAGTTGATTTCTTTGGTTACTTGATTGGGTTGGCTGGATGGTTAAATGATTGGTTGGTTAGTTGGTTGCTTGGTCGATTGATTTATCCATCTATAAATGAATTAATCCAATATTTTTAATCTATGCAAATTTATCCAGAGGGCGCAAGAGATTTGTTTCAGAGGGTGATGGTGGTCTAATGAAGCCCCTGTGAAGATGAGGACATGCAAATTAACTGCTCGCACCGATTGGCTGACTAATTATAACATGCTAATTAGCTAATTATAATATGTTAATTAGTGCGCTAATTGGTTAATTATGACGAGTTATTTAGCATGTTAATCATTCGACATTTTATTCAATTGTTAATGATAATGAATCGTTTTCTTGTTAATTAATTTTGATAAATATCAACAATAACATTAATAACGTTGGTCATTTAGTTTTGTTTTACTGATTGTTAATGCTATTGATAAGTTTAATTTCTGTTACTGGGTCCGTGCGTGCGTGTGTGCGTGTGTTTGTTTGTAAGTGTGTTTGTGTGTTTGAATATATAGAATTATTATATTATAATTATATGTATATATCTATATATATATATATCTATATGTATATAACGCTTTAGTTATCTATACTTTGTCTCGGTTATGGTACTTGAGTAAAAACTGCGTGTGTGTGTTTGTTTGTGTGTGTGTGTATGTGTGTGTGTTTTTAGAGATTGTGATGTTTTAAAATATTGCAAAAGAGGGGAATGATGATGATGATGATGTGTAAAAAATGTTACCATCATTTATAGCAATGATGTTTGTTTAAGGTGGGTTCGGTTTGACGATCAATATTCTTAATATACATAAATGATAGTGACGGTGCTGATAATGGTGATGATGATGCTGATAGGAGTGATGATAATAATGGTGATGATAATGATGATAGAAGTGGTGATAACGATGATGTTGATGATGATAATAGAAGTAATGATGATAGAAGTGATGATGATGATAGAAGTGATGATAATGATAATAGGAGTGATGATGATCACTATTTTTATCTCTTTCGTCGACAGCATTCTCTGCTTACATATTATTTTTTTGAGTAATGCTTGACTTCCTCCTCGTGTATTTTATCTTAAATAATAATATTAATAATATGTTTTTTATTGTTTTTATTATTATTGTTTTAGTTTTTTGATTTTAATGCACTTTTATTCATATAGTATTTGATTTAAGAAATAAATTTTCTTTTTCGTCCTTTTTATCGATATAAGCGTATAGAAGACATAGAAGCAAACGAACTAGTAAGCTAACGGGTATACATACAAATATGTACGTACACTGTGTGAAAAATATTTTTACAAAATGAAGCGCCTCATGATTTAAACTGCTCCGCCAAGAGGGAAATAAACTTCAGTTTAAATTTTATTGAATATTGTTTAAATTAAATGTATTGCTTTTAAAATATTAAGTTATTTTTGCGCCGATTTCAAGATGGAGAATCGAACGTCTGATGAAGAGTTGGTACTTAGTAGATTGTTAAAAAATTTGCCTTTTTTTAATTTTTGTGACACTGTACTATACTATAGTTATTATAGTACTAACTTGTACTCAGGTTTTACGTTTTATTTTGGTATTTTTTTCATTTGACATTGTCATTAACTAATTAAGATGAAGTGAATTAGAATTAGTGAAAACGTGGTGATTGCTAGATTAATGACGATTTGCTTAAATAAGGATTACTAGATTTATTTATTTTATTTGGTTTAGTTTGGTTGTCCTATTATCCTATCTGTTTGACTGTTTGCTATTTTGATTTGAGGAGTTTTTAGTAAATTATTCAATATTTTATAAATATATTAATTTACTTTATTATTAAGATGATATTAAAATTGAAAAAAATTTGCACCCCTAATCAAGGACTGATCACACAGAAAATTTTCAGGAATATCTAGAAGTAGGCATCTCAAAGTTGATGGAAATCTGGACTGATTTAGGACTCAATAGAAAAGATGTGCTGCTGCGAAAGAAAGTCATGCTAGGTCACCTTCGAGATCTTCTTGACGATATGGTAAGGGAAGAGGAGTCAACCAGGCAGTCGATCCTGAATAGTGTCAAAGCTTATCACCAGGAAGTGCTTAAGCTGTGTGGGGAGCTAAAATTAGAACCTTATAATGTCTGTTTATGTGTGCTTGTCTGTTTGATTGTTTGTTTGTTTGACCGTTTGTCTATCCATCTGTTTGTTTGTCTGTTTCTATTTTTCTGTTTGTCTGTTTTTTTGTTTTTGTTTTATTTGTTTTTTTTTACTATTAATCTGTTTGTTTGTCAGCCATTTCATGACTTATTAAATTAACAAAAATAAAATTATTTTACAAATTTAAAATAAAGATCTCTCATTACCCCCCCCCCCACCCCCACACACACAGCCCAATGAAGAATTAACAGTCCTCCAATTAGAGAAAGACCTCAGGCTAAAATTAGAATCATTACAAAAGGAGAAAGCCAAGAAGATGGAACGCCTAAAATCCCTATCCAGGATCGATCAGGAACTGTGCAATCTTCTCTGTGAAATTCCGTTCTACGTTCCCAGTGGGATTGTGCCAAGTGAGGAACAGCTGAACGAACTGGATAAGCATATTAGAAAATTAGAAGATGAAAAGGTTGGCGTAGATTGATTTTTGTCATTGTTGTTATAAACATTCACCACATTTGCACATTCAAATGTACATGTTCACAGGACCAGAGAGAGCAGATACTTAAACAGACCAAAGAACAAGTAAAGGAGATGTTGTTGCAGCTAGATATACCACTGGCCTCTCAGTTCGAGCAGGATGTGATCAATGAAAGCGATGACTCGTTCGTTCTTTCGTCTGAAAATATGAAATTACTTGCAGTTTTCCACGATCGAGTTAGTTTGATTGGTTGGTTTTTTTGTTATCTAATGATTGATTAGTTGGCCTGTTGGCTCTGATTGATTAGTTGATTGATTAATTCAGTAATTAGTTTGTTGATTGATGATTGAGTGAGTGAATAAATATATTGTTAGTTGAATGAATGAAGTAATAGTGATTGAGGTGTTGATCAGTAAAAGAAAAAAAACCAACAGTTACAGAAAAGGTTAAGAGAGAACATAGAAACAGCGGAAAGACTGACGACTGAACTTTATTATCTTTGGGACCAGCTTGGAATTTCCATCACAGAGAGGACGCAATTCTCAGAGGAATACACTGGCATCAAGCAGAGAACCATACTGGCTGTAAGTTTTAGTGTGATTAGGGAATTTACTGAGTGGTGGGGAATTTTGTAAGGAATATGCTTTTATAATATATTTATGATAATAATAGTTAGGATAATATTAATAATTATTATTCAATTTAATTCTTTCTCCAGCTAAATGAAGAGATTAACAGATGCAAAATCCTGAAGATCCAGAATGCATCAATGATAATTGGATCCCTGAGGAAGCAGTTGGATAAGTTGTGGGATCGATGCTATATCCCAATGGAGCAGAGAAAAATGTTTAAAGGATTTTATAGCGGTTTGTTTGTTTGTGTTTGTTTGTGTGTTTGTTTGTTTGAGTGTTTGTGTAGGTATGTTTTTTTGTTACTCTGTACATTTGTCTGAATAATGTGAACATACATACATACGTACATACAAACATATGTACACAGATGAGTGGAATGAAGAAGTTTTAGTAAAGCATGAGGAAGAGATAAGAATGTTGAAAGCTTACTACGAAGAGCATAAATCATTATTCGAAAAAGTCCAACATAGAGATATGGTCTGGGAGCAGTTTCTAGAATTTGAGGTCTGTTTTTATGTGTTTGTTTGTTTGTTCGTTTGTTTGTGAGCGTGTGTTCTTGTTTTTTGATTTTGTTTGAATGTTCATTCATCTAACCAATCAATCAGAGAAGAGCCAGCAATCCTAACAGATTATTCGATAAAGGATGGAGCTTACTTCAAGAGGAAAAGGAAAGGAAAAAGATCACTAAAGAACTACCCAGAGTTCGTTTAGATCATTCATTCTTTCTTTCATTCCTTCATTCGTTCATTCATTCTTCAATTCATTCAATCGTTCGCTCATTCATTTATTCGTTCATTCGGCAATTTTGTTATTTATTCAGTTAATCTTTCAATAGGTACTATTTCATAAAATCATTCATTTTCTTTATTTATTTACATACGCGCACAAATATTTGTACATACTTACCGACAAATACGTACAAACACGCACGCACACAGACACATACAAACACACTCATACACATACACACTCACGCACACAGATTGAGAACGAAGTGATGGAAGAAATAGACCTCTGGCAGAAGAAAATGAACAAAACTTTCTTAATAAACGGCTTTCTGTACCAAGATTACATAAAGATGCAATGGGACGACTACAGAACGCACAAAGAGAATGAAAAACATTCTAGGGTACTGTATTTTTTGGTATTTTTTCCGTATTTTTGTATGGTATTTTTGTATGGTATTTTTGTATTGTTTTGGTTATTATACTGTTTTTATTTTGTATTGTATTGCAATGTAAACATTTTTGTATTTTAATGAGTTATATTTATATCACAATAAATACATTCATACATACATCAAATACAAAAATACAAAACAGCAACAAAACAAGCAAAGAAAAACGGAAGAAGAGATGTTATTTGGCAGTCGACCCCACGTCACTCCTGTCAAAAAACCTCTAATCTCCATCACAGGGGGGTCCAAATCGTCCTCTAAGAACTCTGCTAAGGTCAGGGATGTGCTGCTTTTTGGTATTGCTGTGTTGTATTGTTAGTGACAGTGATTTTATTGACGCGATTTTGGTATTATTACATTGACATTGATTTAGCACTGGTGTTTTAAACAAATACACATATACAAACATACACACATATATAGATACACACATACACGCGCACACACGTACGTACATACAAATACACATACCCAGGCACTTAATATGAACCAGAGGCCAGCTCATGTGGGCTTTGCTGATGGTGGAAACGTGATGAAACAGCCAATACTTGACCTCAGGATGGAGCCAGCCTCCGAAACTTTCCTTCTCAGCCAAACTATGGTTAGATGTGGTGATGGTGGAAATTATGATGATGGTGGTGGTGCTAATTATGATGATGATGTCGATTATGATGGTAATGTTGCCGGTGATTTCTAATCAATCACCCATCAACCAGTCACCTAATTTATTTACCAACCAACCAATAAACAAATAGCCAATCAATTATATATTAAATCAACCCTCCAATCAATTAACCAACCGACCAATCAATAAATCAATAATTAGGTCGGTTCAAGCGAGATACATAAACATCAACCCGATGTTACGATAGCCCCGGTTGACCCGTATTCTGAATTTGAGGTGAATTTTTATATACATGTACACACACACATATACCTACAAACAAACATACAAACATATATAAAGAGCATACAGACAAGCATACAGACAAACATACGTACATACACACATACTGAATTTTTAAAAAAATTACCTAGCTAAGGTTGAATGAAAAGATAAGATCCCATACCAGAAGCAGTATCGTCGATAACATGAGTGACGACGACGACGATGACAACGACGCTTACGTCAACAAGCAACAGCAATAATAATCACAATAAAAAATAATAATTATGGCTATAATTTTGTTTATAATTTTTCTTTATTTAATTCATAATTTTATATCGTTTTAATTATGATATTTTCGGTTTGATTTTTATGTATGTGTGAATTATGAACAGTTAGTTGGCAATGCATATTCTGAATTATACAAGAATAATTATATTATATAAATATTTGATTCCACACCTCTGTCTGAATGAGTGAATGGAGGAATGATTGATTGAATAAATGAAACGCCTGGATAAGTAAAATAAATGAATGATTGGGTGAATAAAATGAATGAATAAAATGAATTGGTAATGTGAATGACTGAATAAAAGTTTCGAAACATTTCATAAAATGATCGAATAAGAAATGAGCATACTGGTGTGTGTGTGTGCGTGTGTGTGTGTCGTGCGTGAGTCTCAGGCAAAAATTACAAAGTTATTTTACTATATGTACACGCCGCATTTGTTATTAATATTATTATCATCAATATTTTACATTTCAAAACGAACAGATATTACATTTTACTTTGCCCATATTTACATGTAAAGATTTTTATAATGGCAACTTTCTTTACATGCATCTGTGTCTTACAGAATGATATATTTTTGTGTTTTACGCTAAACAATGTTACAATATTACAGATTTTTTGTGTTTTACATGTAATCAAACATTCTTATATATTATACAAGCAATCTATGTTTTTAAAACTTGAATATAAATATGTGTGTGTGTGTATGTACATATATATAAATATATATATATATATATTGAGAGAGAGATTTTTCAAAAATATTTTAAATGATTTTTACATGTGTTACCTTTGGTTTGAATTGAGCAATGCTAGTATGTATAGTATTTACATGACATATGTGCATCCTAATAACACAAATACTTCATTGACTAACTTATATTTGTAATAAATAATCCTAGCTGAGAAAATTATAGACAGACTGTACTCTACTTAATTCATACGCTTGGAGAGCAGGAAAATGTTTTTAATAAAGTGTAAAAACCAACTAATTAATTCATCATTATTAATTTATTATAATTTAACTAATTAGTTAATTAAATAAGTTATTTTTAAATTCTGTATCAAAATTTTTTCATAAGATGTTCATGCGCGTTTCATCTATTTATCTCCTATTGCAATTTTGATATATCAAATTGTAATAGGAGATATATAACTTGCTGTTGTTTATTTAAACATCTGTTTGATTGACTGCTCGATTGGCTGATTGATTAGTTTGTCAGTTGATAAATTTAAGAATTGATTACTTGTCGATAGATTAGCTAAGTGATTGACCGAATGATTGATAGCAGTAAAATTGGACGAATCAACCATCCTTTATCACGAATATTAACGGCCGTACAGCCGATTTCTATGCAGATTAAGATGGCCATACGTTCAAACCGATTCGGATATATACGAATATATATATTTAAATTATAATACATGGAAACCGTACTCGTGAATGGTACCGGCTTTAGAGATTCGAATATATATCCGGAAATACGTAACTTGGTTTCCAGTTCGTTCAAGCAGAAATATATTTAACATTCCACCTCATCTACAGGCCAGGCAGCAACAGAATTATGCTTATTAATAATAACGATTTTATTCATATTATATTATATTAAAAATATATTTAATAACAACAATAATAATATAGTAGTTGCGATCTATATATATATATATATATATATATATATAAGAATACATTTAAATTCATATATATATATATATATACATAGCTAAACATATATATATATACCCATACATACGTATATACTTCCTACTGTTATGATCCATCGTGCCAACACCTCTATTATAATATAAGGTTATATATTTTTTCTATTTGAAATTGTGCAAAGTCCGATCAATAATAATAATAATATTTATGAAAATAGTAAAATTGATAATAATAGAAATAAACAGATAGTAATTAATTAAATAAAGATAATAATAATAAACCTGACTAAAAACATTGTTTACACATTAAATAAATATATATAGATATATATATCAATTATTATATATCATATATATATATAAATATATATATATCAATTATTTTATATCAATAAACTAGCAAACACATAATCCAGTTATAAATTGGTGAATAACTTGAACATATATATATATATATATATATATATATATATATATATATATATACACGCACACACACACACACACACATATATATATACACACGTGCATACATACATATACATCTACATACATAACAATAAATGATGATGATGATATAATGATAATAAGAATGTGATAATGATAACAGCGGTAACAAATATGATAACATTAGCATCAATCTTTAACACATTATAACAATAATAATATTAATAATAATAAGAGTAACAAAAATAATAATAGTAATATATATTTATATATAGAGTTACTCATTTTATCATATTATATATTCCTATTACTTCATCACCATCTTCATGATCATCATTTAGGTAAATAACTTTGAAAAATCGCCGCCAAAATCATCATTATCAGTATGGCCATCATTATCACCATAACATCATCATCATCACCAACCACATCACCATTATCATCATAGCAATAACATCGCCCGCCACCATCATCAGCATCATTAATTTTTTCTCTCGTTTTTGTCGTCATCATCATCATCATCATCATCGTCCTCATCATCATCGACAATAACCATAACAATAACCATAACAACAACAATAACAATGCAATTCTCACCATCCATCATCATCACTATTATAACCATCACATCACATATTGTTAACATCAACGAATGTGTGAATGAGTGGACAACGGATGAATGAATGAAAGCTTAATTAATAGACTAATCATTAAATTAATCTATCAAAATCAACCAACCGATCAGCAAGCCAACCAACCAAACAATCAATCAGCCAACCAACCAAACAACCAATTATTTTTTTTTTTATAAACTACGATGATGAATTATATTTTAAATAGTGAAATGAAAATTAAGAATATCGTACCAATCAACCAAACAATCAAACATCCAGTCAACCGATCAATCATCTAGTCAGTCTATCAACCAATCAATCAACCTATAAAACCGTCAAAAAAAAAAAAAATTTATCTTACTTAGAATTAAATAATCAAGAAACGAACAATCAACCAGCTAATCAATCAACCAGCTAATCAATCAACCAGCTAACCAATCAACCAATCCACAGAAACCAGTTACCAAATCAATCAATCAATCAATCACTCAAGTCACTTTTAATCAGCCAATCAAACTCGCTTTCTCCCTACTTGGAAAGGACATAATTCGGGGCTTCTTGTCAATACCCTTACGACAGGATACTTGTTCGTTTGTATCAACAATCAATCAACTCAAACCAGCCCCACTCTCCCTCCCTCTCTCTTTCTCTCTATTTGGACTTATGTCAGGTTTCCCCCCCCCTCTCTCTTTCTCTCTATTTGGACTTATGCCAGGGTTTCTTATCGATACCCTTGTGGTCAGGTACATGTTTGTATCGGCAGGTGCCGGTAAACTGGCAGCCTGTGGTACGCCAAAAGTAGCACTCGTCACCGTTCACCGGTCCCGAGGTCCTCTGCTGCTGCTGCTGTTGGCTGTTAGATAGACCCTTGTGTGATTGTCATTTGTATTCATCATTCATTATATATATATATATACATATATATACATATATATATATATATATATATATATATATATATTAACTATTATTATAGTTAATAATTATTAATATAATTATTATATATATATATAATATAATATATATAATAATATATATATATAATATAAATAATAACATATAATATATACAATAATTATTAATATAATTATCATACATATATATATATATATATATATATATATATATATATATATATATATATATTAACGAAAAACAACAACAACAACAACATCAATAACAACAATAGAAACATCAACAACGACAACAAACACAAAATACCTGACTGTTGTAGACGCCACCATTTTGTACTTGGCCATTAGAATAAGCATTACCATTGCTGTTCAGTATCATTGATAATAAAAATTTTTATTATAACAACAACAACAACAATAATAATAATATAAATAATAATAATTATTATTATGACTATAAATAATCATCTTCGTCGTCATCATCATCTACAAAGTTACACCACCACCATCATCCTAATCATCTTCATCATAACCACCTGGACTGCAAAGATGACAGTGTGTTGCTTCTAGATGAGAGATTTTGCTGGTACTGAGTTTGACCGGATTTTGATGTCGTACTAATTAATTAATTAATTAATTATAATTAATTAATTATAATTAATTAATTAGTTCGACAGAAAGCTAGATACAAATTAGCCCATCTAATTAATTAAACGAATAGTCCAATAGTTAATTGATTAATTAATTAATTAACTACCTCTTAATAATTTTCTCCCCGTTGACTGGGTGATCTGGAAACTTTATCAACAACTTCTGCCCCAGTAGATCCGCCCCCTGAATAAATTATGTTAATGAGGAGGAAGAGCATTTAGAAAAGAGAGGGTATTGTTAGGCTAACACAGGAAGCCTCTTGCTAATTTAAAAGAGCAATTTCAGCAAATAGGCAACTCTAGAGTACGTAAGACACTGAATTGCTTGCGTAACTCAATAAAAAAAACCAAAAATGAATGCATGCACACAAGTACAAATACAAACACACACACACATACATGCACACACGTACAAATACAAACACACACACACATATACATGCACATACACGCACACACACACACGCACACAAACCTGCAAACACTCCATAGCTTTACCCGCGCATTCCTTATTGACGAAGTTGATGAATGCGCAAAATTTTTCAGGTATGCACTTCACGCTCTGCAACTGACCGTACCTAAAAGTGGGTCGGGTCAAGAGTGAAAATGTAGGTCAAAGTTCAGAAGATAAACTGGACGTTGGATCGAATAAAAATGACGGAACTTTTGATTTGGAGGTAAGGTCAAGTTCAGAAGGTCAAGTAAATAATTAAGTAAATAATTTAGTAAAGAAATTAATAAGCAATAATATTTGACAGCACAATGAATAAAGTCATTATCAAAAACACATACTAACCACCATCACAAACATCATCATCGCCATAATAATAATAATAATCATCATCATCGTCGTCGTCATCATCACAGCAACTAACTTGGAGAATAACTTGATGAGGTTTTCTTGCTTGGCTTCAGGCAAAACATTACCCACCCAGAGTGAAGTCAGACCTTCTGGATTTCTAGGACTGTTTGTATGTTTGTATCTATATGTGTGTGTGTGTGTTTGTAAGTGCGAGCGAGTACGTATATATGCATGTGTGCGTGTGTATAGGCATTGTATGTTTGTATGCTAGTACATTGATGTTAATCTTCAACAATTGGGAGTGTTGTATTTTTTTGTATTGTCAATATCAATCAGCAAAACTAACACACATACAAACAACAAACATACACACGCAAACACAGACACATAGATACACATACACACGCAACCAAACAAACACACACAAACATACAAGCAACGAAACAAACAAAAACCCACTTCATTTTAACAACATCTTGTTGCTTATTCATCAAAATCTGTTTCTGAGCTTGCTCATAATGATGTTGTGGTATGGGCGGCAGCGGTTGTTGCTGCTGTTGCTGCTTTTGAAGTTGCTTCTGTTGCTGCTTCTGCTGTTTACTACTGGCAGTAGAAGTAGTATTTGTAGTGGTTGTAGAAGTAGCTGCAGTTGTAGATGCAGTTGTATTGTTGTTACTATCAGCTTTGTTGCTACTAGATTTCACAAAGTGCTGTTGTTGCTGCAGCTGCTGTTGTTGAGATTGCTGTTGATGATGCTGTTGTTTTTGTTGAAGGGCGGCGAGATCGATGACGTCATCGTCGTCGTCGTTCGATGATATTGAATCTCTAAGAGAAGCATCAGAGGCTGCAGAAGTGGTGATGATAGTGTATCAGGGATGATAGTATGTCAGTTAGATGAATGATACAAGTTACAATCTAAACAATCTAACTAATCCATCAAACAATTAACCGGTCAGCCAACCAACCAGACAAACGGTCTTCTAACCAGCCAGCCTATAAATTAACTAACCAATAAATCACTCACTCACTCACTCTTTCAACCGCCTAACCAACCAACCTTGATTACTCAGCAACCAATCCAACGCAGCTTGTACAGTCTCACATTGCTGTATGGCGCAGGCAGCCTGATGCTTTTTAAATCCCATTTCCTTGAAAATTACAACAAAACAACAGCGTAATGGTTAGCATGCCCGACACTGATGTTGCATTGACCAGTATCAAATACATAGAAAGACTCCCTCCTACACACACACACACATCATTACAACCATTATCATCATCATCATCACAATACCCACCATCAGCTGTTGAACTCTGACCCCGATAAGTTCTAATTTAGCATCTGGGCACTTGGCATCTAGCCTAAGTACTTGCAGATAAGCCTCTTCAGCCTCCACGAATGCCTGGATGTTGTTACATAAATAACACTCTTGATATAGAAGGTTAAAGGTTATTCTCTCGCTTTTGCACTCTTCATATAAATAATTATTCTTAGCTACTAGTTAGAATCACCGCTTACGATATCATTACCGATATCCACAACTACAAATACGTTTGCAGATGTTTATCATTTATAATAATAACAATAATCATTATCATTATTGGCGTTATAATTATTACTACTATAATTACATTATATTATCATTTATAATATTATTGCCAGCGTACTTTTTTGCCAGCTAAAGCTTTCCCCTTCCTGAAATAGCCCTTGGGCCACTCGGGGGCCAACGTTATGGCTTCAGTGGCGTCTTTGAGGGCCCTTTTCGGAAGTTATTTTATTATTGAAGCTAATTTATAATTACCACTTGTTTGGTATTCATTCACTCGTTCAATCATTTATTCATTCATTTAATAATTTTTTAATTAACTTAATTATTCATTAATTCACTAACCCATTATTTACTAATATACTCTAGCGTTTTTCGGTTTAATCATTCATCCATTCACTCCTTTATTCTATCTCTAATTCACTTATTCATTCATCCATTCATTCACTTAATTACTCATTCGCTGATTAATTAATGCATTTAATTAATTCCTTTAATCAATCAATCAATCGATCAATTAATCAACCAAACGTAAAAAAAAGTGCAAACTCTTCAAAAGCACCCTGCCTTTCATGACAAAACGATCTGTTACCAAAAAACCTAAAAACGTAAGATTAAAATTAATGATTAAAAAACTATTATACTTATCACCACGAAATGTAATTACACTCGCCCTCCTGTTACATTTTACAGGATTACAAAAGAGTGCCACGTGAGCTTAAGCTTAAACAGCAAAGCCACAGTGAACAGAAAACGCCATTCATTCAATCCAATTCAACACACTTAGAAGCAGTGTAATAAAGTTATTATTATTATTATTGTCATTATTATTATTGTTATTATTATTATTATTAACCGAAAATCGGTGGGGTCCAGTTGTATGGCTTTTGAAAATTCTAGAATGGCAACTTCATACTGGCCTTTGTTCGCCAACTGGTTGCCTTCGACTATTATAATTAATAATAGGAATAACAATAATAAATAGTAATAATAATAAATAACAATAGTTATAATCTGGCGTGACTACGTTGATAATCTGCTACTGAGTGAGAAGAAAAACGTGTGTTTAACAGTAAGTAGATATAGCACTAGATATCTATCCATCCATCCATCTAGATATCTATCCATCCATCCATCTAATATCTATCTATCTATTGATAGTAGATGAAGACAATTATTATCTTTCGTCTCCTTGAAAAATTCAAAGAGACGAAAGATAATAATAATGACATTAACAATAAGAAACCAACAACAACAACAACAACAATAATAATAATAATAACAACAATAAATAAAATGAATAATAATAATTAAGGTAAAAGTTCTTTTACTGGCATATTGTCGACTTTGCATAATAATATCCCCTCTGGTATCAGCGGGCTGTGAAAATTATAATTAATTATAATATAATTATTATGACAATAATAACTACAATATAACCAAATTTACTTCCTTATAGTTCTAATCAATTATGGGTTCATACATAAACACATACCAATACATACATACATACATAAATACATACACACATACCCATACATACACATATATATATATTCTACCTCTCCATTGGCTAAAGCCTGTTGTTTCTGATGTTGTTGTTTCTGATGTTGTTGTTGTTGAATGTTATTGTTAACGTCAGAGACCCTCTTCTTTTTACCGCTACTGTTCGATGTTGTTTGCATCGGTGAAGTCGCTACACCAGCTGCTGTTGTCGTCGTCGTCGTTGCTGTTGCAGATGTTAGGACTGCTGTCTTTGATGTTACTAGATGGTTGTAGTGTTGTTGGTGATTTTTACCTTTTTCAAAATCCTGTGTGACGGTTTTCATCATCATCATCAGCATCATCATCATCATCTAATTATAACCAACATCACCTACTTAGCCAGTCTAACTATGACCATCATCATTGTCGTCGTCTTCAGCGTCAGCGTCATCATCATCATCATCAGTACTGCACTCATCATCGTCGTCGTCATCATCATCATTTGCATTATCATCAATCACAGCTTACAGAATTTGTGGATGATATCAAACCGTTCGTGTTTGCTCTGTATAGAGAAATGGCAGATTTATAATCATTTATAATTCACAATTATTATTCATAATAAATAAGTAAATTAATAAATAAACAAATAGACTGTTAGTCAAACAAATAAACATAGCCATTCATCTATTAACAAATCAATTAATCAATCACAAATCACTGAACCAACTGACCAACCAAACAATTAACTAAACAAACATACAGGCATCAATGTTCTAATCAATTAAACAATCAACCAGCCAACCATTTAATCAATCAATAAATCAACCAACCAACCAATCAAACAACCAATCAATCAACCAATCAATCAAACAACCAATCAAACAACCAACCAATCAACCAACCGACCTCGAATTGTTGTTCATTACATGAATGCCTTTACTGTCAATTGAACTCTGTATTTTTTGGAGTCAAATTAAAGTTGCAATCATTTTAAACTGGGCAATCCCATCACCATCCTTGTAATACTTCACTAAACTACACTACAGCTGCTACATCGTCGTCATCATTACTACTACTACTACTACTACTACTACTACTACTACTACTACTACTACTACTACTACTACTACTACTACTACTGAATTACTAACTTTAGCATGTTAGCTACTAAAGCGAGTTTCACCTATTTAAGTTGCATTCAAACTACACTTTGCTATATAACACTCTCATCATCAACATTATATGGTACTATACTATATTCTATCATCATCACCATCATTATCATCATCATCCATATGGTACTATTCTATCATCATCGTCATCATCATCATTACTAACTTTAGTATTTATACTACTATTGTTACTAGCTTCGTAAGATCGGGTGGTGGTAGTAGTAGTAGTAGTAGTAGTAGTAGTAGCAAGATTGTTGTTGCTGGTCACCTCTTTATTACTCTGTAAACCTATATTGTGCAGTAATTAAGTAATTAGTAGCAGCAGTAATAAAGACAACAACAACAACAAAAACACAACAATAACAATCATTAACCTTTTTGTTGTTGTTGTTGACTGTTACAAGAATGTTTACTGTTTATATTATTCGAAGTAGTAGTAGTAGTAGTAGTAGT